GGTGATGAGTGGTGATGGACAGTGATGAGCTGTGATGGACGGTGATGAGCTGTGATGGATGGTGATGAGCGGTGATGGACGGTGATGAGCGGTGATGAGCTGTGAGGGACAGTGATGGGCGGTGATGGACGGTGATGGATGCTGATGGGCGGTGGTGGACGGTGATGAGCTGTGATGGATGGTGATGAGCGGTGATGGATGGTGATGGACGGTGATGAGCTGTGAGGGACAGTGATGGGCGGTGATGGACGGTGATGGATGGTGATGGGCGGTGGTGGACGGTGATGGATGCTGATGGGCGGTGGTGGACGGTGATGAGTAGTGATGGACGGTGATGGATGGTAGCTGCAGATTTTCATCAGGACATCAACTGTAAACTCTGCTCCTGCTGACCTCCACCTGCTGCTGCTGGGTAACCAGGTGGATGTTTTCAGATTAAATATCAGTAAACATGGAGAAGAAAATGCAGGACATGGAGAAGATGGAGGACGTGGACAAGATGGAGGACGTGGATAAGATGTAGGACACGGAGAAGATGGAGGACATGGAGAAGATGGAGTACTCTAATAAGATGGAGGACAGGGAGAAGATGGAGACGCGAAGAAGATGGAGGACAGGGAGAAGATGGGGAAGATGGAGGACATGGATAAAATGGAGGACATGGAGAAGATGGAGAACAGGAAGAAGATGGGGACAGGGAGAAGATGGAGACGTGAAGAAGATGGAGAAGATGGAGGACAGGGAGAAGATGGGGGACATTGAGAAGATGGAGACATGGAGAAGATGGAGGACATGGAGAAGATGGAGTTTAGGAAGAAGACGAGGGACGTGGAGAAGACGGAGGAAAGAGAGAAGATGGAGGAGGTGGAGAAGATGGGGGACATGGACACCAGCTGAACTAACATTCTGTTAACCATCGTACAGACAGTGATAATAACCTGAACGACCTACATCAGTTTTTAACAGGACAGCTCCGTCCAACCAGGGGACAGAGCAGAGGATTCTGGGAGAGAAGGAGAGGAGGCGTGGCTTTAATAAGCCCGGTGACATGGGGAGAACATGCTAACTCAGAGAGGCTCCTCCACCTTGGGGTCGAACAGTGACAGTGCTAACCACTGCTCCACCGTGCCACCCGCTGTGACTTCCTGTGACTGATTAATGTCAGATTATAAATAAAGGTTTGAACGTGTCGCCGTCACTGAGCGGCGGCTGGAGGTCAGCGCCATCTGTTAGACTGAAGAAACTCCACCCACTGACACGCTGACGTTGATGATTGACTTCCTGTTTGTCCGTCACAATGATGTGTTAATGTATCTGTGTGTGTGTTTGTGTGTGTTTCAGACTTGCTGTTTGGAGTCCCAGGGAAATACACTGGAGTCAGTCACTACAACAGGAAGAGGGTGGTGACCTACACCATCACGGTGGTGCTGTCCAGATATGACGCCAGGTGAGTCACACCTGCACAGGAAATAAAAAAAAAGTGCATGTTCATCTGAATATGATTTATTCTGACTTTTGTTGTCATTTTTAACATGAAGAGAATATTTAGTCCTCAGAGTGTGTGTGTGTGTGTGTGTGTGTGTCTGTCTGTCTGTTCAGGGCTGATGTTAATGTGACATCATATAAAGGAAGCTGTCACCATGTTTATTCACTGTGTGACACGTTATAAATCAGCTGTCATGGTGATGGTGGTGATGATGACGGTGGTGATGATAATGGTGATGGTGGTGATGATGGTGGTGATGATGACGGTGGTGATGGTGGTGATGATGACGGTGGTGATGGTGATGGTGGTGATGATGATGATGGTGATGGTGGTGATGATGGTGGTGATGATGGTGATGATGACGGTGGTGATGGTGATGGTGGTGATGATGATGATGGTGACGGTGGTGATGATGGTGATGGTGGTTATGATGACGGTGGTGATGATGGTGGTGATGATGGTGATGGTGACGGTGGTGATGATGGTGATGGTGGTTATGATGACGGTGGTGATGGTGGTGGTGATGATGATGATGGTGATGGTGATGGTGGTGATAATGACGGTGGTGATGATAATGGTGATGGTGGTGATGATGGTGGTGATGATGGTGGTGATGATGACGGTGGTGATGATG